CTGGGGGTTGGGTCTTTTCTGCAGCTGTGGAAGTCGTTACTGGGGTAGTTGTGTGTTCTTTGGAAGGGGTTGTTACTTGGACTCCCTCTGTTGCGGGTGATGTACTTACTGTAACCGTCTTTGCCTCGGCTGTGGCAGTAACACTGGCGGATGTTGTAGTTGGGGAAGAAGTGATCGGGGAAGGTGCAGCAGGAGGTTTTTCTGAGGATTCAGCCACCGAAACAGTTGTTAGCGGTGCCTGTGTGGCCGCTCGAGCCGTTGGTGGTGTTGAGGTTGAGTCTGGTTTGGTCGGGACTTTGGTGGTCGTCGCATTAGTCCTTGTTTGGGCTGGAGAAGATGTATTTGGAGAAGATGTATTTGCAGCAGATGATGAGACCGTTGGTGGTGTTGTAGAAGCGCCGTCAGACACAGTTGGACTTGTAGTGGCAACTGTGCTTGGACTTGAGTTTGAGGGACTCACTTGTACTGTTGTTGCTGTTGTTACTGTTGTTGCTGTTGTTGCTGCTGTTGCTGTTAATGTTGTTGCTGCAGTGGGGATTGGTGTTGAGGTTGGGTTTGAAGCTGTAGCTGAAACATTCTGGGTGGCAGCTGGAGCAGACGTTACAGCAGCTGGGGTAGATGTTGTAGACGAAAGGGGCAAGTTCTTTACAGCAGTAGTTCCAGTTGGGGCCGGGTTCACTGTGGTGGTGGTGGTGAGTGCCGGTGTAACACTTACCGTCTGTGATATTACATTAGAAGCTGTTGTGACTGTTGTGGCAGGGACTGATGCTGGAACATCTGTAGGAGAAGACGAAGCAGTGGAGGGAGCGGTGGCAGCCGATGTGGCAGCTGCGGTGGTTTTGGCAGGGTCTGGTCCGGTTGTGTTCACATTTACAGAAACTGAAGGTTTTGGCTCTACGGGAGCGGTAGAAGCTGTGGAAACCACAAGTGTTGCTCTTGCAGCTGGAAGAGTCGATGTGACGGTGCTGGCAGGTGTCAGTGGGGTCGTGGTCGTGACTGGGATGGTGGCAGGCGTGGAAAGTGCAACAGAGGATGAAGAGGAAACCTGGGTTGATGCTGCGTCTCGGCTTTGAACTGTAGCTGGAGCTGAACTGATGAACTGTGCTGAGGCTGATGTGGAGGCAGCGACAGGAAGCGGTGCGGTCTGCTGGGGTGCAGGTGCAGCGGCTGCTCGGACCGAAGCCGAGACGGGTGTGGAAGTTTGATCTGTTGAGGAGGTTCGGGGTGGATCTGGAGTCTTAATGTCTGTTTCCTCAGCTTTGGTAGACTCGGAGGCCTGACTTGTAGTGACAGCAGCAGCAGCGACGGTCTCCGACTCGCGGGGAGATGGGACTGTTGGCTCTGTGGTAGTATCAGTTTTCAATACACCAGAAACACCAGTAGTCTCATTTTTAGAGTTCTGTCCTTCACTCACAGTTTCTAGAAAGGTTGTGGAGTCTTTGCGAGGACGACCCCGCTTACGTTTCGGGGAGAGAGGGGGGTGCCCTTCCTCACTCGGCGAGGTGGGCTGCGGGGAAGGGGTTACTGTGTTGTCAGGCTCAGGTAACCTAGGAGAAGTCTTAGGGGGCCGGCCCCTCTTTCTTTTCAAAGGTGTCGCAAGAGAATTCACACTGGACTCTGTAGAGGTGGACGAGGCGTCCTTGCCTGGTGGTGTGTCTGTCTTTTTGGCCTGGTTTGCTCCTCTTCCTCTACCCAGATGCTGCTGTTGCTCTCCCAGCTGAGCAGCCATGCGAGATTCAGTTTCCAACCGGCGCCGCACAGGAAGATTTCTCAGCACGGGCATGTCGGGAGAAAGATGGGGCGGGGAATAAGGAGGATAACCTCTGACGGGCTGCGGGTGCACAGACGGACTCGGAACAGAGTCTTGGTCCTGAGGAGATTTGGTAACTTTACTTTTGCCGTCAGGAGTCGGCGATGTGTTGTCTTTGTTTGGTTCGTCGACGAATCCGGCGGCGTTCTCCTCCGCGGTTGCCTCCTCTGACGAAGCTCCACCTCCAGTGCCGCTTCCTCGCCGCCGCCTCCTTCTCGGCTCCTTCTCCTCCACCACCGTGACGAGTCTCCCGGGAAGCTTCCGCAGGACTTTGGCAGACGGGGAGTCTTCGACCAGGCCCCGCAGGACTTCACCATCTGCTGACTGTCGCTTGCGAGGCGATCTGGAGCTGGTGGAGGGGGGAGACATGGCGCTGTGGTCTTTGCCGTCATCGTCTTTTGCTTGATGGTCCACCGGGCAGCTGGACTCTAGTGACGACTCCGACATCCTCCTCTCATTCTCCCCCTCTTTCTCCTCTCTGCCTGCTCTGGAGTTCTTGCCGTCAGTCTCCACAACGCACTGTTGTTTCCCTCCAGGTGGAGAGGCTGTAGGAGGGGAAGGCACTGGACTGGGGTGGGAGCGGTTTGGTAAAGTCCTGGTTTTGGTGGTCTGGTGATCTCTGGCAGGAGACGAGGCTTTTGAAGATTTGGAGGAATCTTGCCTGGTTAATGAGGAGGTTTTGTGATGGTCTGTGCGGGACGGGGTGGTAGACACAGCACCGGTGTCTTTGGCAGCTCCTCGTCCTCTCAGACTAAAGCGGGGTCTTTCAGGCACTTCTTTAGGGGTCGTAGGCTCAGGCTCAGTTTCGGGTGAGGCCCCACGTAGCCGACCACTAGTCCTTGTAGAGGTGACATTCTTGTCCTTATCCTTTTCCCTGTCCTTGGGTTTACGGCCGCGGCGGGCTGGGGCTGGCTGAGCGGGCTCCACGGAGGCCAGTGGTGACAGAAAGTCGTCGTCGTCCTCGTCAGATGAAGCGTGCAGCTTTAGGCCCTCCTCCTTGGCCTGGTCCAGGCCTTTCCTGGCAGCCTCCACCTGCTCCTAAACAGACAGACAAACAATATCCCTTTAATACTTCAGTCTTTGTTGTGACTGCTCCCACTTCAGTCAAAACCCAAAAAATGATTGTCACCAAATTAGTATTTAGTGCTGAAATACAATTAATTAATGCCAATTATTGTTTTAGCCCCAACATTTTTTATTACTGAATTCAGGTCAATAAAGAAAAACTGCTAAATATTTGTGGTTTTAGCTTCTCACATGAAGATTTTCTTGGTCTGTTGAACAGACAATAAGAAGACTTGCCTCTGCAGTGTTCACCTTGAGCTACTTTTATAGAATAATTGATTTTTATTTGAAAAATGATCGCCTGATAATGGCGATCATCACTAGTTGCAGCCATAGTATTTACTTTAGGAAAACAGTATAGTAAATGTGTTTCTCTTACTTTTTACACCCCTGTACCTTTGGGTTGAGGAAAGCTGAGTCTAAAGTCAAAGTTGAATTTATTAAATCAAACTTTTAGAAAGCGGAGCTGATGACACAGACTCTGTTATTTAAATAAAACAAACAAAACAAAAAGAAAAGGTGAAGATGTGGCGTTACCTCAGCCTGCTTCAACTCTTCTTTGCATACATCTTCTAATGAGGCTTCCAGGAAGTTCATGGCGTAGCGTTCAATGGGAGTGAGCTAGGGACAGGCAGAGAATACGGTGAGTGAACTGAGTACCCCCCAATCCTCACCCACAACACTCTACAGATCATTACCTCTGTGGATAATGTATAATCCAGGACTTTTAAATCAATAATGAAATTACAGAGCTGCGTGATTATTCACCTGCTCCACCAGAGCAGCTATTTCCTGCTCGGCCTTGGAGAGCTCCTCCACTTCCTCTTGTTCCCCTCCGTCGTCCAGCGGTATGTTCTCGTTGAACTCTGCCAGTTCTGCCACCTGCTCTGCTTTAGCCTGAGAGGCTGCCACTATGTCCTCCTCGTCCTCGGCACGGCACAGGGCCTGCAAGAAACATTTCAAGGTGATCAGGTTATTGTTATTTTACACCACACTGATTAGACTGGCAGCTGGATAAAAAAAAAAAAATACAGCAGTTACACTAAATGTGGATATATAAAACCCCTTGGTCTACTACTTGTTGAATCTTAAAGACAGATTTCTTTCAAAGGATTCAAAAATATAATAGTAGATTCTTCAACTTTGTCCTGTGCTGAAAAAAAGTGTTCCGAAATACTTTATCGATCCTGACTGATACAGTTGCTCGAGTTGCTAAACAAAGAGAATTATAAGAAAATATATGCATTATACTGGAGTATATAACGACAATAAGACATGTAACAGTGTGAAAAAATATAATCTAGAGTATAACTGCAGTATTAATGACGAGTATTCACGTTTCAAGGGCCAGTTTAATGACCTCCTTTGGCGCTCTGTGGTGCATCTNNTAACCAATTGCTAGGCGATACATCCCATCATATATGTCTGTGTTTGGGCCATGTGGTGAATCTAACCTGCTCCAGAATGGTGGTGCTCTGCTTGTTGACAGCTTCCTCCTCCTCAACTTGGGGCACCGACAGCTCCACCGCCGCCTCTCTCTTCTCCCCCTCGTTCATATCAAACAGCTCTCGGATGGTTTGCTGAGGAACAGAAGTTGAGACACGTTCAGCGCAGGAAAAACTAAAATAAAAGAGGCACTTGAACTTGCTTAATGTCTTTCCATTATCGCCACAATACGCTCGAAAAGAGCAGTTATGCTAATGATGTCATTAATTCAATGCATTAATTAGAAAACGTTGCGATGTCGGCATACTTCAGATAGCACAGGTGGCATTGCTTCAAAAGTAGATCTGAACAAATTTAATTTAAAAGGAGGAGAAGAGGGATGTTTTTATGTGCAACCGGTGACTGCAGTCAACGAGACGTCTCAGTCATCAAAGCGCACGCCTACAACATGTTTGTGTTTGGATAAATGATTCATCATCGTATGATTAACAGCACATGAGTGTCAGTTGCGTGTGAGCAGCCATAAAAACTCCATTAGGAAGAAGAGAGAAAGGCTGGAGACGGATTAACGTACTTTATCGAATCTGTAACGTTTATATGATGGTAATAAAATAGCTGTAATCTGGTGTGAAATTATATGATGTTATTTCCATAACGTGGAGTATAAGGATAAATAAAGACTATTGTAGAATATATAAATAGTTTGTGCACAGACTTTAAATTGTTACCTGTTTGAAGAAGGCGGTGGTAAAGTTTCCTCCTTCAATAGCCATATCTCCCAGCATCCTCTTCTGATTGGCTTTCTTTAAAATATTCTCCTCCACTGTGCGCTCGCTGATCAACCTGAAGAGGAACATTTAAAAAAAACAATATGATGTTAAAATCACATTTTTTGAATGAAGGAAACACCTAAAATAACACGGGTACTGATTTCCTCCTTATCTCATTCCCACATTCCTTGTTTTTCCATTAAATTACATCCCATCTAAAGTCTTAAATCCTCATCTGCTATTTGTGTTACTGATCTATGGTGAGGACACATTCAGTTTCCACAGACATTTAGACTTTTATAGTTGATATTGGCTTCTATTTAGGTGTGGCTCATCTATTGTGCAACTAGCATCAGTTGTTATCATTTACACATGTGCTTTTACTGGAAGTAAAGCCATGAGAAAATAGGAATTTTGGGGACTTCCCAGTATGGTTTTCTTGAAATTAGATCATCTGTTGAAGACTCAGCAGTAAATTGTGGCATCCTGGCACCGCCATGCAAAATCGAAACATAAAACGCACCCTGTAAAATCCCCGTACCTTCGACTGACCAAATAATCTGTCTGGTTAAGATCACCAGATACTTCCTGCTCGTTTATGGTCAAAATGAAAGTGCAACTGCAGCCTCAAACAGACCAAACTGCGTGTGACACGAATTTTAAAAAGGTCTTTCATACTCCTTCCTGTTTAAAGTCAAGGTTAAAGTCATTTAACTGCTTTGCGTAACACACAAGCGCTATTGGCTCCCTCTCTAGCTGCTGTATACAGAAACTACATAAATAGCACTGGTTTCCGTTTATGTAGACTCGCAGCTCTTGTAAATACGCTTTTTACCTGTAGATGTGGACGTCTCTGGTCTGGCCGATTCTGTGGCAACGGTCCTGCGCCTGAGCGTCCATGGTGGGGTTCCAGTCGCTGTCGTAGAATACGACCGTATCGGCCCCAGTCAGGTTCACCCCTACACCCCCGCTGCGAGTTGACAAAATGAAGCAGAAAATACGCCGATCGGCATTGAAGCGTTCCATGAGAGCCTGAAGGGGAAGTAAAAAGACAGAATAAGGATTAGAGACGGCGGACTGGCTGCTACATAACTTTATTTTTCTTTTCTGGATATGTAGGGTAAAGGCAACACTTAAACACAGTCGGTACCAACCTGTCTCTGCTCCACGCGGGTGCTGCCGTCCAGGCGGAGGTAGATGTGTCCGTGGTAGTTGAGGAACTGCTCCAGCACATCTAACATCCGCGTCATCTGAGTGAAGATCAACACTCTGTGGCCTCCTGTCTTCAGCTTTCGCAGCAATGTGTGGAGAGTCTGCAGCTTACCTGCACACAGGGGGACACACAATGAAAAATATGAATTATTTAGGAGAACAAACAGAATCACCAGTAGTAGAGAATAATAAACTCAGTTTAAAGTTTATATTATTGTGGATTCTGCTAAAGAATATCAATGGTATCTTTCAGTTCTTTGTATCAAACATTCTGCACAAAAACACATCTTGACACCTTACCGCAGTCATACTGTATGAGCCTCAGGTCTGGAAACTGGGTCCTCATGTTACACTGGATACGATGGAGACTGCGAGTTAAAGGAGCGACTTGAGTTGACAGCATGGAGGAGAAGGCTGCCTGCTTATGGCTCAGTGAGGGAGGAGGATGGCAGCAGTGCATGGAGATTGGAGGAGCCTCCACCGGGGGAATCGCAAATGTAAACCTGAAATGGGAAAAAAAAGTATAACAGTTCAATCTCCTCTAGTAACTTCCCACAAAAAAAAAAACAAGCTGACCTACCTGTCTACAACTTCACGGAGCAGCTCCAGCCTGTCCTCGATGCTGTGGATGGCCTCTCTCACGGCGCGGCTCTGAAACCAGTAGTCGTATTTGTTTTGCCACTGTGCGTACAGACAGCTGCTCTGGCCCGAGCGGCTCCACTCCCCCTGAGAGCTCAGGGCGGCCGGCGAGGGACGGGGACCAGGGAGAATAGTCAGGAAGTCCAAAACCTCCCGGCCATACACGGGCTTTGCCCCACAGTGGCTCTCGTTGACTCGGATGATGAAGTCCAGTCGGCTGTCGCGCTGCTGTTTGTGGCTATCTGCCAGCCACGACTGTTGAGTGAGAGGGTAAACATGAGCACAGGATGTTAAAGCAGCACCGAGTAAAAGAAAAGCTTGATTTATGTATCTGATATCTACTTCTGTGCTGCTCAAATGTGCGATGAGATCAATTAATTTAACAACTCAGTGATCAGTGTCACGAGGTGCAACTTGCTTACCACGTAGAAAGGAGAGCGAGGAGGTGGACGAGGCACTTTTCTGGGTGGAGGGAAGGCTTTTGCCCCCGTACTGGGCCTCGACTTCGTGGTAACTGGTGTCTGACCGCTGCTGCTGTCACGCGGTGCTGCTGGAGACTTGGACGCAGAGGACGAGGAGGCCACCTGACCTGGAGCTGAGGGGAGGGTAGAGGAGAAAGCAGAGCAAAGGCAAACATGAAACAAAAACATAAAAATGTGTTTTTCTTATTGTTGCTTCACTTGGATGTTTGAAATTCACTGTGCAGAATCACAAACGGGCAGAGTCTGACACCAAAACGCTGTTTTATGAGCAGGATTTTGGAACGAGTTTGGAAAGCCAATCGTGGTCGAATATGTGAATTTGAAGTAGGAGACATCTTGTGTCCAGCAGTTTGAAACAATACATGCGTATTCATACGATGTGTTTACATGCACATTACTCAAAGAAAGAAGGTTACGTGGTAGTCGAAGAACACTTTTAGTCCACATATACATGCAGCAGGTCAGTAATCAGATTCTCTCCTATCCCAGAACTCATTTTGTTACCATTGCTTACTTATTAAAACTGAATTAGTGGAAGAAGACGCTGAATTGGTCCTGATTTTATTTATTTTTTTTACTCTGTGTGTCTGTCACCACAAACTGACAGAACAGTGAAGCAGAAATGTGTCTGAATTTAATAAACAGTCAAATGTTCAGCAGTGAAGACTCACTTATGTAGACTCAGAGTCATTATTAAAGGACTCATCGCTCTATGTAATTATCTCTCCTACGATTAGCCTTCCTGATGTTACTTTTCTTGCCTGCGGTCTTTTGTCATGCTCATGTGAACATATAAAAAGCCTCTTAGAAACCCCGTTAACCTGGATACCATTCTCCAGAAGGGTAATTTTAACTTTTGTGTGGAAAAAACACATCAGACACACGTTTGTATTTTTATGTCCTAAAACATAAATCTACTAAATCGGCTTCCAGATATTTTCCTGTGCCTGTCTGAACCGGTGGTTCTCATATTTGGTCAGATGTAGTCTCAAGGACCCCTAGGGGCCCCCAAACCCCATGTTGAGAACCCCTGGTCTAAACTTTCATGCAGGTTTCATAATACATGACACACTGCACACATCTAGTACTCATATTAAGGAGATTAAAAAAAAATTGGAGTGGGAAAGAAAAAAATAAATACTAAAGATTAGTTGCAATCTGACCCAGTTCTGCTCGCCATGCTCGCCATACAGCGTTATGGATTATAGCTCAAGCTCGTCCTCTCACCTGGCTGCTCTGTGCTTGCTGGAGGAGGCTGCACTACTTTGAGGACGGGGCGAGGGGGGTGGGGCTGGTTCAGGGTCGAGCTAGGGTTTCCGGGAGGAGCTATGGTGTAGTGTGCAGTAGCGGGACCAGGCGTGCGCTGGGCAATTTGCAGTGGAGCAGTGTTTCTGACAGGGGTTGTGTTGACGTGAGGGTGCGGGGAAGGGGATGCCTGAGGAGCAACACGAGGGGAAGGGGCCACTGCCAGTGTGGGCACAGGCCCGCCCTCCTTGCCTGCTGTCTGACGCACAACGATCTTCACGACGCCAGGACTGCTCACCATAGAGGGGGTCACTGAGGAGACATACATATGAGCTGTTAAAAACAAGGCTTTCTTAGAGGGCGTTGAACAGACATCATATAACACTGATGAGTTAACTGATTTTAGGTAATCAGAGGATAATTCCAGTAGGTTTTTTGACATTACAGGACAGCACTTGCTCATAAAACGGTCATTTAAATATATAAAGGCTCATTTATGGGAGACTTTATTACAGTTTTCCTCTGACCGTAGAATTTATTTGATATAACAGAAAATTCATCTTTTAGAAAGTGAACGTGTTGTTCTGTACATGTATTTATCAACCAGACGACAACACATCTGATCATTAATAGGCTGTATATATTGTATATATGTAGATAGATTCCCACTGGGCTTCTCTGAGAATTCCACTCACAGAAAAATTTGTGCTGCTTTGCATCTGGGAAACCTGCTTTGAATACCGCACTGCTCAGCTTATCCTACCAACAGGCAAGTTTCAAACAAAATACTGACGCAGGTGATCTGAGTAAGCTAAAATACAATACAATATAATTCAAACACGACAACGTGGGATTATTTCTGGACTGGAAAAATAATCTAAGTTTCCAGGTTTTCTAGAACATGAGGAAAGAAAATACTTCTCTTGTCCAGAAAATACTTTAAGATTAAGCTTTATGAATTTTGAGAGAGATTAAGATTAAAAGAACAGATAAATATCTTTGTTAGTTTATTATCTTTGTCTGTTGAGGGGCAGAACATGAGTGAGTGAGAGAGAAGAGTTAAAACCTTGCGAGGAGGCATTGTGAGGCAGACGATTTGCAGGGAGGGCAGCGGAGGTGCTTGCAGGATGAGCGTTGGCTGCGCTCTGGACAGCCACCTGGGCAGGCTGACTGATGAGGTGGTGCTGCACTCCGCTGGACACCAGGTGCATCACATTACCTGCAGCGCGAGAGCGAGTCAGACAGGTAATCAGTCCACAGTCACACATCATACCCAATCATCACTTCAGATTTATATACGATACGTTAAATGTATTGCTGTACAATTACGTTGTATATCTTGAAGAAGCAGCAATGTCTTGTTTTTACCGTAAATGTTAAAGAAAAAGATTCACACTGCAGTCCAGCTTTAATAATGTATAACTAACTACTTTAGTGCAAAACACAAACCCTATAATCTGCACTTTGTCATCTGGTAACTACATGTTTAATTCTTCTGGTCTGTGGAAAGCTGGGCAGTAATATGATTCACCTGATAGACGACGCTGCGAACTTACTGGAGGTTTAAAAAGGTATTTTCTTTAAAGCTTCAACATATATACAGAATTATTGATACAGAAAATATATAAACTAATTAAAATGGTCCAACCATTGAACCTTGTAGATGCACAGCTATTTTTAAACACTAACCTTGAACTGGGCGTGCAGGAGCTGCTGGGACTTGGTGGATCTGGGCTCCAGACAGCGTGAGCTTGTTGCCCTGAAGCTGGAAGGTGACGGGTTTACTGCCCTGACATGAGGACACGGGTCGCCCTGCCAGGGAGGCCAGCTGGGCTATGCTCACCACCTCACCAGCTTAGGAAGAAAACAGAAAGAAGCAGCAATATTAGAACAATGACATGTGTGTGTGTTTGTTTAAAAAGGTGTGTTGCTTCTCTAGCTGCTGAACTTACTATAAAGCTGACAGCTATCATTCAGGGTGGAGTTTAAAGGAGATAACGTTAGTAAGCGTTATCCGTTTTGAGGAACAAACAGGCTGAAAACACTGAACATTAATCAGTTTCTACTTACAAGGCAACCGAGCCTGCATATCTGGACTGAGCAGAACCCTCTGGGGCATGATGTTGCCGGCGTTTGGACTCGGGTGAGCTGGGATGCTGGCTGTGCAGGAGACAGTGGGAGGCCGTACGGTCAGCACTGGCTTTGGAGCGCTGGATCTCACTGCAGTTTGAGCAGTGAGATGCATGGACGGGCGAGGAGGTGGCGTGGTTGCCACTGAACACACCACTACAGGGAAAAGGAGAAATGAGCAAAAGTTGAAATGAAAGGATCTGCAAGCGTCGCCGTTTTCTGAAATCATGAATCCATCTTTTTGCTTCACGTGCCTTGTTGAACTACAGGAGCAGGCGCAGGAGTCGAGGTGACTTCAGTGACTGCAGGAGGTTTGGGGGTCTGTGCTGCAGGCGGCACGGAGCAGGTAGGTTTGTTCATCAGTAGGACCGGTCGGTTATCGCCTTTAGGTGGTGGCTGGAACATCCTAAAACAAAAGACAAACAAAAGATTAAACCTTGTATTAACAGATTTGTTTTTATCATCTGGTTTGGTTATGTCCACCTCTGTCTCCTACCTGTCCTCATACGGCGCTTTACTTTTAATATCTGAGAAGGAGGTTTAACTCCTTCTCATTGAAAAAGAGCGCTGGTAGTCCTTCGATATGTTTAGTTTCAGTATTGATATCAAAACTGATGCTTTTATACTTTACTTTGCTGAGGAAAAAAACATGTTTTTCTACAAAATTCTTACTTTTTTATGCAAATAAACAAAAGCAAGGCTTCTGAAATACATCAGATTGTCCACTTTTAATTCATTTATGGGCAGAGCTGAAGCTAAACAACAACTTAACATTCACACTTACATTTAAAAAGATGGTGGGCTGTCCACTAATTTCTATGCATCTTCAATACTTTCATACTGTTTATTCTTAAGTGTTTTATTGCTCAGAGTAAGCGCAGATTGCAGTGTAAAGTTAGGGAACTGATGTCTTTTTAGTTTGAAAAACAAAAACAAAACAAACAACAAATAATATCAATGCTGGTCAGCTTTTGTTGCCCGACACAGTGACCTTTTAATCGAGCTGATGGCGGTCTGAACATACTGAGAAGTGACCTTTGGCCAAGCACTTAACCCGAGTTGCTCCCACAGTACACTAACACAGCAGTTACCGTGGCGTACAGATGCAGGCTCAGCTGTACTGTTCTGAGGGTTTTCCTGCACAACTTGTGGTTATAAAAGTATTTGAAGTATTAGTGGGTGTACTGTGTACCTGTTGACCTTCATGCGGACTGGTTTGGGCCTCGGAGGGGGTTCAGGGGACTCCACGATCTCCCGGATCAGTTGGCGGCTGACCTTGTAGCGCTGCAGGAATACATCCGCCTGGTACCGGGACACACGGCTTTCCAAACCAACAAGGTCAAACATAGAGAGGTCGCAGCGCTGAGGACGGAAAAACGTACAGGTTTTTTAGGGTTTTTTCCATCAGAATTCACAATACTGTATGTGATCGACCAAATTAAAGCTTTTTTTTAGTGTTTCTTTAACACTAACCTTCAAAGGAGAGACCTCCAGGGCGTCCTGCACCAGGGAGGCTGTATGGAAAACAATGGGCTGCGTGATGAAGGGAGACTGGATGGGTCGAGGGTCAAACAGGTTGGGGTGGTTGCACACTTTGCGGAGCTGCATTAGGATGTTAATCACAGACATGAAGTGACCGCTGGCCAGCGTTTCCCGGGTCCTGTCGACCAGAAACAAAACAGGTGATGAATGGAGAGAACAGATGAGTAACAGTACAGTACATAGTAATCATAGAGAAGAAAATAAGATTGTTTTTATGTATGATGTGTAAATTATTCCAGTTTCTTGCTGTCAGATTTTGGACATTTTTACTTTATTTGATAACTACACTCAGTTGATACATCTATCTAACAACAGTCCTGCAATAAATCCAATATTTCTGACTTAGAAAGGTTTGAATTCCACTACGTATAATTTGGAGGATATATTTTTTTGGTGCTGTTTAACTGAGAAATACTTCTGAGGACGTGCACGCCCAACAGTTGTTAAAAGCAAATATATCTTTGGTCTTATACTGACAGGTGTTTACAGACTTGTTGAAGCAACACCTCTCTAGAACTGTTTAAACAAAAACTTCTTAACCTTCATACACAGAAGACTTATCGTAGGACTGCTGCATTAGACTGCATTCGTTGTAACTAGATGTTCCTAGTAGTGCAGTAACTCACGAGGCCTGTGCCATGAAGTCGTCGTAGAGAAACCGCTGTCTCTTGGAGAGGCGACAGCGCACCACATGCTCGTATTTCTTGGGCATCTGCTTCTCCACGTCGATCTTGATCCTCCTGAGCAGGAACGGCCTCAGAACCTTGTGGAGCCTCTTCACCAGGCCTTCATTGTACTCCTGACTGCCCTCGATCATCCCCGTCAGCGGGTTGGAGAACCACTCTTTGAACTCGCGGTGGGACTGGAACACGTGGGGCATGAGGAAGTGCATCAGAGACCACAGCTCCATCAGGCTGTTCTGGAGAGGGGTTCCCGTCAGCAGCAGTCGCCGGTGGCTGTAAGAGGTCGGAGTTTACGCAAATGTGCCGCAATTTATGTAATTTAGGATCATAGATGACGAGGGAGAAGAAGCAGAGTTCAGATAAACAGGCAATCTCAGTCAAATTGATTCAAAGCTGCTGCTTAAGACTCATTAAATCTACACTGATTGATTTTCTGGACACATGGGCACAACAAGCTGTATAAACAACACTGACACGTCTTCACTGAAGGAAATATCTGTCTCTTTAGCAGCTAAACTTTCCACTATGACACCAGCCAGTTGTTAACTCTCTGCCTGCTGTTTGGTGCCAACAGGGAGAGTACAATACTGGAAACTGCCTGCTGCTGCTGAACGCTGTGGGACTGAAACGAAACAGTAAAGTTATGGGATGGAAACAACAAAACAATGAGCTGAAAGAAAGCAGCAACCTCTGTGACCGGCAGACGCAGCCAACACAGAAGTATAATGATTATAGTAACTTTGATGTGACGCACAATAACTGATGGTTGAATCATTTCCCACAGCACTTTGTGTGTTTAAAATTGGAAGACGAGCTGGTTAAACCTTCACGTGCACACTCCACTGTCGCCTGTTGATAAACTGTTATGTGGCCTGGTGTATTTTGGGAATGCAGTCAAAGTCAAACACGGCTAATACTCAGCGACGGCTCGTCTTCTACAGCTGAACGCACTCCGACTTTTTGTGACAAGCAACTGCTTACCGATGAGAGAGAAAGGCATCCTTAAACACGGCAGAGAGAGGAGACTTTCTGGTTTCTAGTTTGTATAAAAAAACCCAAAAAAACGACTTCTTACTTACGACACCTATTCAGATTTTCCGCCTACAGGCCTCATTTCCTCAGAGCGCTGATCGTCTCAGTCTACTGGGTTATTAGATCACACAGAAATGGACACATGGGTGTTTGCCAGACTAACCAGGGCAAAGAAATTAAACATTATCTGATCTGGAAATTACACGAATACTTGTGCCAAAGCAGTTTCTTCACATAAAAAAGTGCTTCTTCTTGCTTCAAATCACAGCAAACCATTTTGTGTTTGATTTAACTCGACTGTGAAACGCTGCTCCCACGCTGTGTGGATTACTTCAACATACACACAGGAGTCGATGGGGATCAAACCAGTAACCGTACGATTATTGGCCAACTCGCACTACCACCTGAGGTTGAGAGAGAGAGATGAGTTACAGCACCTTTTAAAACCTGCTCAGAGACGGTTTGGATTGTAAGAATGTTAACTCGTCTCTGGAAAAGTAAAATATTTATTCCAGCAAGTCAGCGTTTCTTTTAAGTGCCGGGACAAAGTGTGTATGCTACGATGGTTTTTGGACAGCTCATTCACGTCGGCAGAGGCTGCATGTGCTGAAGCAACAACCGCTGGACACGAGACAGGAACTCATTATTCCTAGCCGGTCCAACTGGGTGTGCATATATAATGTTCAAAGAGCAGATGTGTCCACGTTTGTAGATTCACAGATGTTTCTGTTGAGAACGGCAGTAAAGATAGTGCCAACTTTCTGGTGGTGCGTCTTGATTTTGGAGGTTTGATGAATCTGTACCACATTAAAGAACCAGTGTGAAGCGTTCAGTGGCATCTAGTGGTGAAGGAGCAGATTAAAGGCTGAAGGAGAAACTCTCAAAGAATCGTAAAACTCTATAAATCTAGAGCCAGTGTGTGGTTTGTACGCTCAAGATGGAAGAGGACTTGTTCTCTTTATTCTACCGTAACAATAATTTTTATTTTCAGGAGTTTATACACTAAAGAAAACAGACCGAACTCTCATATTCCATAAATGTTACACATTCAGAGCCCTACAGTTTGTACATTTCTCCTTCTGAGAACACAGCAACACCCAGGCTCGACTGACCTGTTGAAGTTCAGCAGGCTCTGCCAGCGCTGGGACTTGAAGTTCTTGATGTTTTGCGCCTCATCTAGGATCAGATAACGCCAAGACTTGCGCCGGAAGGCCTGGTGATCCTGCAGCACCAACTTGTACGAAGTGATGCACACGTGGAAAGCATTCGGCTTCGTCCAGCCCTAAGAAAACCGAAACAATAGGCAATCAATGTGTGTTTCTATATCCATTGTAGAAACACTTTGAAAGCCTAATATATGAAATCACACCAGTGCTGAATATAATAAAATGTTTCCCCATTCCAAACGAATTAACTCATTACTTGTCTCTTCAGCTTTCTCTCCTTTTGGCTGCCGAAGTAGGTGAGGATTTTAAACCCGGGACACCAGCGCTTCAGCTCCATCTCCCAGTTCAACATCACACTGGTGGGGACGATGATAAGGTGCGGGCCCCAGTTACCTAAAAACAACAGGTCACAAAATATCAGCCGTTAAACATGAAAGAAAGATCACGAGAGTTAAATTACTGTATAAAAACAGTAGCACTCCAAAAAGACCCTTATTTTTTTTTACCCTTTTCACAGGCGAGGTGAGCGAGCAGAGCGATGGTCTGGATGGTTTTTCCCAGACCCATCTCATCAGCCAGAATGCCATTTAGCTTTTTCTCGTACATGGTGACCAGCCAGTCGAGTCCGATGTGCTGGTATTCTCGTAATGTGCCATGAAGCAGGAATGGGATGGGGGTCTTGACCTTTTTATCCGAAGAAAAAGATGAGAAAATTATGGTTCAGAACGGAGTACGACGAGATTTTTGCACCACAAAAAGTATCTTTTATCCTGTTTCCTAAACTATTTTAGAGCTCTAAAATCTTTTGTCAGTAAAAAACTCAAAAGACAATTTAGTTAAGAACAAAAAGATTATTCTAAATATTAAAGACTGACCTTTGTAGTAGCCAGAGTGTAACCTTTAGGCTGCAGGCTCTCTGCAGTAGCAGCAATGTGGCTGATCTCTTTCTTCGGCCGTGAGCTAGCGGATGGCGGGCTGTTGTCTCCCTCCTTCAGCAAGAGCTCCATCCCTTCATCTCCACAGTCATCTTCCCCATCTTCTCCCGCGCTCTCCTCTTCGTCTTTCTCACTGTCGTCGTCTTCCCCACTGTCCCCTGGTGAAGCTGAGAAAAGCACATTTGAAAAATAACTTAACAGATTCATGAAGCGTGTAACAATCGCAATCTTTAAAAAGCAAAAGCGAAAAAAGATGTTACACCTTTAGATAAACAATTTAGATGAGATTGTTTTGATTTCCTGTAGGTTTGTTAATTAATACCTGAGGAGGAAGTGTTGCTCTCAGCATCGCTCTCATCTTCTTCAGTCTCCTCCTCCTCGTCCCCAGACACCTCAGAATCAGAGCTCGCTTTAGAGCCAGATGCAGAAGGAGCCTCAAAGTCTGAAGCATATGCTCCTTTGTACTTCTCCAGCAGCTCCTCAACACTCATATCGCCTACGAGGAGAACAGAGAAGATGTCAGGGTAGATGGTTACTGTTGTTCACTGAAATGTGTATCGGCGCACACACAATACACGGCTGTATTAAAAGGAGCAGCTACAGTGGGACAGCTCTAGCATCAGTTATTCTACATATACCAAACTTGCGTCTTACAGTGCATGCGTTCCCCCAATACTGAACTGTGCTTCAGGGATATGGGGCTTAAAATAATCTAGAAAATGCAGCTGACTCTATAAATAACAGAGTTGTGGGGGTTAATGGACTTGCTCTCATTCTAGCAATACAGGAAGACACAGGCTGGGTAACGGGGAACAACGAAAATGTGATAAACAGGCATATATTACATATATAGAGAATTAAATTGTGTCAGCTTTATTAAGAAAAAGTGAGCTTCTACTGATGTTTGAAGAAAGATAGTTTGAAAATCTATCGTCTCAGCCAAATTTAAGGACATATATTCATATCAAACATGAGCTTGGCCTTGAATCATACGTTATTATGTTGTTTATGTAGACACCAAAAGATCTTTAGTTGCACAGTTGAGCTGGTATTCATCCTCTGCCCACTGAGGTTGGAAGATTCAAAGATATTCGTGAGGAAACCAGATTGTTTTCCACATAGTCTGGTGTTCAGATCAGGCCTGCAAACTCCAACGGGATGAAAAAAGGTGACAGTTCGGAGAATAAACGCACGGCTTTCAGTGCGTCCCTACCGCAGCCGGGCCAAACAAAGTACTGTACCTATAAAGTAGACTGATGAGAGCCAGCAGAAAAAACAAACAGTGTATATTAACGAGATTTTATTCCTCTGTAAACACGACACACGAGCCCGTCTGTAGCTGTGCTGCACAGTAACTCTCTGAAAGGGACAGAAATGTGTTTCTAGAGTCCACCAAAGCTCTGATCTTTCCAGCAGCGACACAGAGTCTGACAGTAGCTTCTCATGGCTGGTTAGCTCCGACTACCAGATCTCCCCTTTGTTTCCTGACCCTCTGCGTTACAAACTATGCAACCACAAGGCCTCCTACAGTCCCTCACTCTTCTGTATCATGCTGGGACCGGCTCATAGAAAACTCAAATCAAGCGCTCCCTGAACGAACAGGTGATGTTGTGGTTTCACTTTGACACCCTGCAGCTGCAGCCGGGATACTTTTATTCACTGAAATAAAAAGCTGTGTCAAGTTACTCAAACAGCACCGACTGCTGCACCTTCACAGTAAAAAGCCTCGTGTAACAATGTGTGATCGTGACGTAATCGTGATCTCAGTGTTGATCTGAATGATAGTTTTGAGGCAGGACAAGTTTTTAAAGTAAACATTTAAGTTGACAGTGAGCGGATTTCTCTTCAAAAATAACTTAAAATACCTTTAAAAAAAAAAACAGGCCGCTCAACACGAGCGTTTACATTTCAAAGTAAAGCTCATACCTTCTCTGGCTAAGTCATCCAGCTCCTCCGCGTGGTCTACATTTCCTTCTACCTTCTCCTGGGCATCTATGGTGTCCTCCTCGTCTCGCAGGCTGAGGGAAAGACAAAGCTCATTGCAGACATTTATTAATGTGTTCAGCCGTGTCATCTTTCATTTACACGCACCCATACTCATTCATTGGGCAGGTGATTCATCTCAACGGCAGCGGTTTGTCGGCATTCCTCCTCTGCAGCCCGCGTCTGTGGCGCGTCTGATTATTAGCATTCACGCCAGTCACTGTATCTTTAAATGTACCACACACGTTATTCATGGGATTAGTTTAGTTGTGCCTGGTTCCTTAACATTATTTAAGTTAAATTGAAAGTGAAACGGTGACAGTAAGTACTTATTGTAATTGGACAACGATGATACAGTATAAAAGGTTTTCACTTTATAATTCAGTGAAACATTTTATTATTAGGTTTTTAGGGAGGAATCGTAAACGCAGCACAGGATTATTTGGATTAACCACACAAGCACATTTTCACTGGTCACTAAAATTAAATGAATCAATTTTCCTTTATGGGTTTAAGGACTGATAAATATAAAAAGAGTGCAAGAGATTATCAGTGTGCTAGAGTTTTGGTTCAATTATTAACTGATTAGTAATTTCCAGTCAACTCTCTTAAACTTGAGACAACCAAACTGCTTTTGTTTGATGTTTTTAGTGTATTTAATTTTCTTTTGCAGAAACCAACAAAGCTGCAACATACAGTTTATTGTTCTGTTTGAATATAGTTTAAGACACAGTGAGGTACTTTCACTACATATATTAACACTAATAGTAATATCACAGGAACGCTTGATGATCGCGATAAACCAGGATATTTATTGGCAACAATAAGCATGTAGCATGAACATATACTCCCTAACAAACATTTACAAAAGGACAGTTTGAGTGATAATTTCAGTGTTTTCACGCAAATTTGTGGCTTAAAAATGGTTTAAACTAAGGAGTTTTAATGTCTACGGATCCGTTGGAAAGGAAAACAAACCCTGTAGTTGTACTTAAGTTTGAATAGGAGCTTTTAAACAACAGTACAACTTAAAACCGAGTTCAGAAGTCTTCTACTTTCAGACAACAATCCCAGCTCCGTGGGGTTTGTGGAGGTACCTGTGGCAGTTTGAGGGTGCTGAGTAGTTGGTCCAGGGGCAGCATGCCCTCCTCCTTCAGCAGTTCAATCTCCCTCCTGTGGCTCTCGGCGTCATTGCCCTCCTGTTGCTCCTCCACCTCGATGGTCTCCTCATCGTCCTCCTCCTCACAGGGAGGCTCAAAGTCTCTGTCTGCAGAAAGAAGATATAGTTTTGTACGGACTGATCAAAGACACACGAAGCATCCGGATCAACAGGGTTCATCGAACGGAACAACACAAAGACTCAAGAGGACTTTTCAACTTATGTTTATGTTTCAGTGACAGAGTCTTGATAAATAAGTAGCCGCTGCACTTTAGCACCACAAAACATCGTCAGATAATAAATTAAATAGAGACTGGACTACGACCCACATAAATGAACCGATGCCAAGCGTTTCCCGTCCTCACTGAGCAGTCACTGTTCACCTCCATGCTTTAGGAAATCTGCTGCCACTGATGATGGGCAGCAGACGAGTCTGACAGGTCTGACAAGTCTCAACCCCGACGGCTGCTGAGCAGAGTCAGGTACAGCGCCGAGGAAATGTTTTTATATTAGACTTAATGTCATCCTGCTGAAGACAAGACGTCTGTGAGCTCAGGAAATCAGGTGGGACTTGTGCAGAACTGTGAGAACATGGCTGATTCTCTCAAAGATGTGATAACCTTGACAATGAAAAGAAAACAGCTTTTTGTTTCCATGAAACATTTTACCTCTGCTGGTGAAAATGCAGTCATTGGTGTGTAGCTATGACAACGTCCTTTCCTGAACCAATGATTCATCTCTGAAAGCAGTCTCGGTACTATCACATGGGCACAGTGCGCTCCATTTACAGAACAGGTTGCAGGTACTGTTTAAAAAATACAAACACTTCTTTACCATCCTCATCAACGGGAGGTGGCGGAGATTTCTTGGGCGTCACAGGGACGGTTTCAGCCGGCCTGGTGGGAGCGAGTGACTTGCTGAGGAGGTCCGAGTATTTCTCTGTCTGGCCAACGATGAAGTCCAGCTGAAGATCCAAAGCCTTCTTCCTCTTCTCCTCCAGTCTGGACTGCTGCTTGTACTGCACCACCTTTAAAAAGAGGACAAAACATGAGACAACACTACTCTTAACACTGACAAACATTACACAGAATGATCCTACTGACTGTTTATAAATGCCGTTATGGTTTCCCTTGTTGAGTAAAAGGTAAAGCTTTTTATTTCTATCACAAAAAAACAATCAGATACAAACGATCCTGTCAAAAATCTGAACACTGAAGCGGAGAGTTTCGTTTGCTCGGTGTCTGTGAATCATCTGTACCTTCTCAACACTGCTCCAGAAAGCCCGGACTTCCTTCGCAATAGAAGAGGCGACTCTTCTGATCTTGGCGTGTTCATCTCTCTTGGCTTTTTCTTCTTTCTGCCGCAGGTCCTCGTGGTGTCGCATCACCATTCGTACCACCTGATAACAGAACACATACATACGGTACGCATCGTGAGAAACACAACACATCTTTTAAACAGGCTGGTGAAAATGACAGTTGCACATTTCTAGGTGTTAAAACTAAACGCGTACCTTTCTCGCCACTCCTCTCTTCCACCGCCTCTCTTGAGCGAAGTCGGCGGAGAGCCACTGCATCTCCTCACACAAGTAGTCCCAGTGAACTTTAGGCCGCGGCGGTTCTGTCAGGCGGGTCAGACGCTTCATGGACCAGAAGCCCTCTCGCTTCAGTGCCTGGGTTCGATGCTCGATGTCTGCTTCCTGCACGATTCAGATTTGTTTAAAAAAAAAATGCCACAAAGACAGTAAATAAATAAATAATTCAGTCTCCGTTTCATTTCAAAGGACCTGCGTTTAGAAAACACTGGCTTTCCCCGGTACCGACGCTGCAGCAGAGAAACTGTTCACTACTGGAGATTTAACATTAACAACATCACAGCAGAGAACTCCCCTCTTTACCTCCACATTTAACCAGTGAATATTCACTAAATTACTATTTAATTTCTTTATATTAATGCAGGAATTGATGGTTACAGTTTAAAAACTAAAAATCTGCCTACTTTTCTGCTTTTTTCTGTTTTTTCAGACTCTAATCTTCATCTAGACTTTTTACCTTAACTGCAGGTTTATGTTTTCATATTGCATGGAAGATAAATGAAGATAAATGAAGATAAAATCACCATCAGGGGTTAAATCAGGGATTACAATAAAGGGAGACGCTTTAATTGCAGGTTGGGAGTTGAGGGTCTTCTAATGAATCAGTCTCCGCTGCTCTCACACACCGACTCTCTTTAATTATTCAAGAAAATACGAATGAACTGATTATAGATAAAGATGGAACAGTCGATAAAGAAAACTGGTTCAACAGTTACATCCAACCCTCAAATAGATATAAACAGTTTATTAAATAAGTCAAAATGCACCAAAAACATGCAGCTCGTCCTCTAAAGAACTATTTAAGGGTTTGATCTGAACACTTACTAACGCTGCTCCAGGAGGGTTCAAGGGTCACGCGTGAATATTTTCTTCACGTGGAGTTCGGTGACCTGAAAAGTCGCGGCCTCGACCAACAACAAGACGCGTGTTCACTCCGCTGCAGTCGAGCATTTAAGACCCTGAATCCTCTGCTGCAAACCAGGAATTTTTTGCCGATTTAAAAGCAATTTGTTTAGGTAATTTAAATGTTGGACTCCTACAGCGGCTATTCAAGGCATCGGGCAAATTGTCCCTAAACGCACAATTATTCTGAGTAGTCTGGCGATGTATTTAAAGACCGGCTCCTCAGAACCGCCTGCAGAAAACTATTATTTAGACTTTCTGACTCACTGAACAGTATCAGTTCAGTTATAAACTCAATCAGAAACCAAGAAATGTCACATCTGTGCATCTATTTCTGCGTCGCTCACGTGTTTAGCCAGCTCTGCCATGTCTGTGTGACGCTCTCCTCGCGGCCGCTGAGGAGCGGCCTGATCGGGCGGCGAAGAGGAGGAACCGTAGCCGCCGACAGAGGAAGGAGAAACGAACTTCCCGTGAGGACCCCGGAGAGGTGACGACTTCTCCCGTCGTGCGGCGGACCAATCGCTGGCGGACGAGGGGCCGGGGTAAGAAGAGGAGGAGGTGCAAGGTGAGACGGGAGAGGAGTTCGCCGTGATCCTGTCTGCTATCCACTGACGTACCTGCAGGGAAAGGGAAGAAGACGAAAAGGGAAATCAATTAAAAACACGTTATCTTAGTGACCAACCACCACTTAATTAATAGTTTACATGTGTGACATTTATATGGACACGCAGGAGGTGAAATGATGACGTGAGGGTGTAATAAATGTTTCCAGACAGGATGAATCTTAACTTTTCTTTTTGGGTTTAGTGATTTACAGCAAAATATTGAATAAACTGTCACACCTACAGAGTGTGGCAGCCTAACTGTGTTTTTAAATTAAATAAAAATGTGTTCGGTGCGACCTGACCAATTTATCCGTCAGATTATAAAACTCTCTCTGAAACAGAAATAGAAATTTATTCATCAACCCTGTTTTCACTGCGGCTGCGTCCTCGGATACACGTCTCGTCTCTGCATTCGAGGACAAACGTTCGATGCTTCGACGCGTCACTCGCTCGTACTTCTGCCTGTTCGTGGTGAACTTTACCTTATGTGGCGAGCCGGCGTTGGTCATCTCGCCTTCTGTCTTGTCGTCGTCGGCGTCCTCGTCGCTGCCTTCCTCCGGACTGCTGACCTGCCCCGACGCCGCCTCCCGAGCCTCGGTTTCCCCCGCGGGTTCGTCCTGCTCCGCCTCCTCGCTCTCGTCCCCCGCGTACAGCGAGTCGGGGTCGTCGCGGCCGGCGGGCGTCGCGACGGCACCTTCGCCGTCCACCGACGCCGCCAGCGCGTGAAGGGCGTTCGGCGTCGCTTCACTCGCTGACGTTTCGGTAACGGTTAAGGCCTCTTTGTCGGGTTTGCTCGTGGAGGTTGCGGCAGGCGGAGGAGTCACGGAGGTTTTAGTGGCGGAGCGCTGAGCACACAGAGAGTCTGCTGCTGACACAGAGGGGGGAAGGCACTCCTCGGACACCGTGCCAGAGCGAGAGCCGTGGGCATCGGCCAGCTCGCCGGACGCATTCTGTTGCTTGGACACCGGTGCCAAAAGGGAGGGAGGGTGTTTGAGGACGCGAGTTTCTCCCGGTTTGAGGAGGAGCAGCTTTGGATTTATTAACCCGGAGGAGTGAGCGGCGCAGAAAGCCTCTGGTTTGGTCTCCGGACTCCGTACAGCGACTCCTGGGGTCTGACGTACTGAAACAACGGTGGACTCGATCCCCGGGTCCTCCCCGCTACCCGCTGGGGACACGAGCGATACCGCAGCAGCTGTTGCTTCTGCGTCCTGTTTTGGGGGAAGCGCCTGACTTACAGGAGACTCGTTCGCCTCCGTGTGGCGTTCGAGCGCCGCGCCGTCCGTCCGTTTAACAGCCAACGATCCAGCAACAGCAGCTACTTCCACCAAACAAACCGCACTCGTGTCGTCCGCTTCCACGGCTCGGTTTCCATCGAACGCCAGATGCCGTCCAGCAGCCGCCCTCGCGTTCTGCACGGGCGAATTATGGGAATTACTGTTCGAGCACGCCTGTGGAGAAAGCAGGGGCTGCTGGGAAACAACAACCGTGTCACCTTCATTAGTTGCGTGAACAGCTGGTTCTTCTTTGCCGGCGTATTCCTCCGAGTGTCCGAGTAACGCGTCGAATAAGTTCACCTCGTATCCGGGAGAGTGAGCGATCTGCACGCTGCTGCTGGCGCACACCGTTTCCTCGGCGACCTCCTCAACCAGGCCGCAGAACTCGTACACGTCCGCGTCCGCCCGAGCGCTTTCCTCGTAAAGCTTCGGTTCTCCAGCAGAGAGCTCGTCGAGGACGCCGCCGCCGTCTCCTCGCTGCAGGAGGTAACTCGGGTTCAGGCTCACGTCGGACCAGCCTCCGCCGACGTGCGCCTCCTCTCCGACCACCACGAGCTCGGCGGTCGGCGGCGGCGGCGTCTCTGCGAGGTCTGAGGGTTGAGATGTTTCTGCTTCAACGACCTGCAGGGAGTCGACTAGGCCGGCGTCGACCGGAGCGGCAGGAGGTTCTGAGGAGGCGTCAGTCTGTTCCTCCTCTCGCTCTCCTTCCACCGGAGTGCAGCTCCTCTGGACGCCGCACGCCGAGCCCCCGTTTCCGGGGAGAGCGTGTAATCCAGGGAGCAGCTCTCTCGCTTCTGTGGTCTCAAGTGTTTCAGCTGAAGGAGGTTTTGTTGGAGAAGCGTCGGCGAGCTCGTTAACGCGTTCCAGCGTCTCGACGGACTCCAAAGAATTAGCTCCCTGTGTTTCTCTGGGATCGTCTGCGAGCTCTCCGATGCCTTTAGGTTGCGTTTGTGACACAGTTTGTTTAATCTCGCCGCGGTCAGGTGAAGGTAAAGAGTCCCGGCGAACACCTGCCGGCTCCTCGGCACTTGGCGGAGGGATATGGCTGCCAAGCGAGTCAGACGGCTCCGTAGTCCCGTGTCCTGCGGCGTCCTGGACTTTGAAACCGACACTTGATTGTGGGAC